CCTGTGGAGAGGTGGCTTAGTTTGGTATAAGAAACTCAGGACTTGAAATCAGACATGCCCAGGCAGGTGAATGGCTAGACTATAGTTGCTGAGCAACGAGAAGCCCAAAGTCTGCACACTGGCACATGAGGGTGGGAGAGGGGCATGTGTACACGCTCAAAATCCTCTACAAAGTCCAAATGTCTACTTCCAACCAACCAAAGGAAGATGACAATGAAACAATAATATTTTTTCTATATTCGTCCATTCCTTCCCAGTTTACAGAATGTTTGTATCTTCTCTAAGCCTAAAATAGCAAGAAAGAGATGGGCACACTTAAAGCCATTGCTTGGAGTGAGTTGAAGGAAGGGGCTGTCTCTAAAGGTTTGGGTAAGTGGGCTGGAGCTCTTCCATGTGTCCCTGCAAGTCCCCCCACCCTTTTGTCCCTGCTCTGCTTGGGTGGGAAGACTGACCTGCTTGAGCTACATCAATGACCTCCCATGCTCTCTGGCACCCAGTTGTAAGTCACCAACAGTGGGTGCTGGGTAGTAGACCAGATGGAGGGGGAAGGAGGGTGAGGTCAAGATGTTCATTCCCTTGGATTCACCTGAGGCTGGCTATGCCCCACCACAGGAACTGACAGCTCTTCTCAGGGCCACTGCTGTGCTGCCTCCAATGTCACATCAACTCAATCTTCTGGGCTCTTCTCATCCCTTTGAACCTAGGGGGATGACAGTTCTGCGGCCACTGGCCCTGGATTCCTGAGGTATTTCTTGGGGTTCCCCTACACTCTACCTTCATCTTTCTAATTAAGCCCTTTATAAACTAACCCTCTTTGAATCATCTTGATCTGAATGAGCCATGTCTTTTCTGTTGGGTCCCTAATTGAAGCAGTGGAGATAAAGAAGGGATGAGAAAGCATTCTGGGGTAAGCAATTCTGGGAAGCTCTTAGCTCTTAGCACCCCCAGGCCCAAAGGGACAAGGGGTAAAAGCAGTTCTGGAACCAAAGAGAGTAGCCGCTGTCAACCGTGGCATGGAGTAGCAAACAGAGACCGCGCGTGCAGCATCTTTATGCAAGCAAGGGAAAATGCAGAGCCGGAAGCAGCATCCCCTCCTGCAGCCGAGCCACCTGGGGCCAGAGGATGCATCTTACTCGCCCAAAGTTATGTGACCACATCTGTGGGGCTTGTTCTCTCCTCTCTTCCCGCAATCCTGCCTTGACCCACTAAGGAAAGAATTCCCTTCCACCCGGTAGGGAAGTGCTAGGGAAGGAGTTTAAACCTCTCTTGCCATCCTTCATCCTTCTGATTGAGGAGGATATGATCGGGGAGAACCAGAGTCACTGGGCCACGGGTCTCTGGCAGGAGCGCCTTAGTCTGTCTTATCTCTTCTTGGGCCTGTTTGTGCCCAGGATGAACAAGCTGTCTCCTCCCACATAGCAAGCCCAGCTGCACAGGTCACTCTCCCTCACCCCCATGAAGGTGGACACCCACCATTTTTCAGGTTCCTTGCCTGCTCCTGGGAGGATAAGTCAGGTCAGTCCAGTCTGTCTCATGGAAAGAGCAGGAAGTTGCCATTTTGGCCTCAGATCTAAGCCACATTGTCCAATCCATCATTATCTGAGAGCCTATGTTTGGGAGCTTGGTCTTCTATTGGCAATTAGTCCCTTCTGCCACTCTCCCCACCAGTTAGCATCTGTCAGAGAGGAGGGCTGAGTCTCTGCCCACCCTTTTCCCACCCCTCCAACCTCCATAAAGATGCAACAGAGTCAAGATCCTAATTCAGGTCCTAATTCTTCAGATTCAGTGCTCTTTGTACTGTGGGCCCCTCCAATGTCAAGTCTCCCTTCTATTCATATGCACAAACCAGAACCCGTTTCCGGCTCCAATGACTTTTGTCCCTACTTATCCCTGTTAGTGGTGTCGTTGCTATTGTTACTATTATTAGAAGAAGCATGGGCTCTGGAGTCAGACTGTCTGGGTGTAAACTCCAGCTCTACCTCCTAACAACTGGGGCTTTGGTAAAGTACTTCATCTCTACATACCTCATTTTCCCCACACGTAAAATAAGGGTCTCGATTACATCTGCCTCGTGAGGCTTCTGTGAGCATTAAATGAGATGACGCATAGGGCCGTGTTCTGCATTGCGCCTGGCATGTAGTAAGTTCTCAAGGAAAGCAGCTGACATCACTATCATTAGTTTACTATTTAAGCATTCAGAGCATTCTGAATGTTGGCAAAACTGAGGAATAAAAAAACTAAGGAGAAGAGTATGGGAAGAGCTAGGATTCACTAGAACACACAAGTAAACAAACAACAGTTAAGAACCCTCTGGGGACTGGTCATTTTATATCATGGAGGCATCTACATCACAGGACATAGACTGCAGTGGGTGGTCATGGACTTGGACTATGTAGTTATGGGATGGATTTCAGAGGGTAGGATTTTGTCTTTTTTCTCTATTTTTAAGCAGAAAATAGAAATAGAGGTGTTGTAGACTGAATTGTATGCTAGGATCAATGGCATGTGCTTTTTGCCCTCACGGAGTCCACACTTAAAGGAAGAGATGGACGGTAAGACAAAATGGAGGTGGCAAGGGTCATACTGTAGAGTGGCTCAGGGTCCTGCCCCCATCTGTGAGTCTGGGAATGTTTATGGCAGACATGGTCTCTAAGTGGCTAGTGAAGGCAGAAAACAAGAATTAGCCTGGTGACGGAGGCTAACTGCAGGGAAGGAAGGACATTTCCCACCAAGGACAGGCAGTAGGAATAAAAGCATTTAAGTGTGTTTGTGTCTTTGTTTGGCTTCCTCCAGAAGCAAACCCTGAGACAAGAATTCGAGCACAACTAGTTTCCTTGGAGGTGGTCCCAGGATACACGGGTAGGAAGGAGAGTGAGAGGGAAGGCAACCGATAAATGACACATTATCAGATTAGTTACCTCTGTGCACAGCTGGAGCTTAATCCCACTGGGGAATTCGGGGAAATGGTGTCAAAGCATACCGCAAAGTTCTGCGGCCCGCGGGGCGGAGGAGCTTCGGGCACTGGTTGAGAGCTGCTCCTGCGGGCATTGATTTCCTGGTGCTTTCAGCCTGCGGCTCGTGTGAGCAGAGTGCCCTCTAGTGGCTAGAGAAAAACCACATGCAAGAAACTCAAGTCTGAACCTCAGGTGAGAGAAGCCAGGCAGGGCACCTACAGCGTCCACCAGTGTGTGCATGGAAGTACAGATGCTTCGGTGTTTCTGAAGCACAAGGTCCAACCTAGGGAATTTCAGGCAATGAGGCTGAAGAGATAGGTGGAAGCACGGGCAGAAATATATGTCATACGACAGTGTTGGAGCTTTATCCTGAGGAAACTCGCGGGCCATTGGAGGGTCTTAAGAACGGGAGAGGCATGGTCAATATTGTGTCTTTAAAAAATCACTCTGGCTTCCATGTTGAGGATGCCTGTGAATGGGACAAGATTGGAGTCAGGGAACCCAGTAGACGGCTCTCCTATTAGTGGTCAAGGAGAAAAATGGAAACGGGCTGATTTTTTTTTTTTTAAAGAAAGCAATGGTATAGAGGGGTTAGAAGACAAAAATAAACCCAGCAGGACTTGGTAATTTATTAAGTGTGGACTTGATGGGGAAGAAGAAGTAAGGGTGGCTCTGAGAGTCTCTCACCGTGATGATTTGGCAATGCTGGCGTTAAATGGAGAATGGAGGAGCAGGTGCAGCTTTACTAGTAGAGAAGATGCATTTGTAATTTGAGGCACATAAGGACAACCCAACATGAGCCATAGAAGTTTGGAGCCCAAAAAGGAGTACTGACCTGGAAACAGGAATTTTGAAATTGAAGCACATGGTGTTGGAAAGGCTGAGAGTGNGGCATCCTTGAAGGGGCCAGGCATAAGGCAAACAAAGGATGTCTCTAAAGCATAGAAAGTCGAGAGACTCAAGATCTTGAAAGTGACCAGTCTTCAGAGGTGTCCAGTAAGATATGAACTGACATGTGTGCGTTGATTTTTTGGCTTTGGTGGGCTGGCCTCTTCTCGGTTCATTTCATTCCAGCTGAGATGTGAATGGGCATGAAGAGTGTGGGAACAGGCAGCAGGGAAAGCTGGTCCGAGAAGTTTGGAAGCAGCGATGAAGAGAGACTGGCCGACAGTCACGAGGGTCTGCAGGATCCCGGACATGTTCTTCTTTTTCTTAGAAGAGGAGCAGGAAGAGGAGGACAGGAGAAATAAATAGGAAAGAAAAGGGTTACTGAGGGAGTAAGCTGCTGAAGAACTTGTACAGGGGTCAGGAGCTCAGGTGAAAACATTGACCTTCAGCAGGAGAAAAAAAACACCATCCAGGGTTGAAGCAGAAGAGACAAAAATGAGTATGAACTTAGATGAGAGTCTGAGGGTTGGAGCAGAGGTAAGTCACTGCTGAGAGCCACAGTCATAACTCCGGTCCCAGCTGAGGATGGAGATCATGAATTTTCAATGGCTTCCATCCATATGGCAATGATGCTGATATTATGGTGCAATGGACTGAAAGTTTATGTCCTCCCAAAATTCACATGTTGAAATCCTAACCCCTAAGTTGGCAATATTAGGAAGTGGAGACTTTGGGAGATGATTAGGTCATGAGCATGGAGCCCTCAGGAAGGGGGCTAGTACCCTTACAAAAGAGACCCCAGAGCTGCCTCACCCCACCCTCCACATGAGGACACATCAAGAAAGTGCCAATGTACCATGAAGTGGGCCCTCAGCAGACACCAAATCTGCTGGTGCCTTGATCTTGGACCTCTCGGCCTCCAGAACTGTGGGAAATAAATTTCTGTTGTTTATAAGCCACCCAGTCTAGGGTATTTTGTTATCACAGCCTGAATGGACTAAGACATATGGTGTTGATGTAATGGTGTCCAAGCTCCCATTTTCTGTCCTCTCTGTGGGTACCTGTGTGTGTGTAGACGCACACATATGCACAGGTAGCATCAGTGCAAACCTGCCTTCTGATGACCATTTCTGGCTCCCTCTGTGTGTCCCTGTCCAGGACCTGTATTCTCAATCCTACGATGCTGTCGGGGTGATGTTTGCCTCCATCCCAGGATTTGCAGACTTTTACTCTCAGACAGAAATGAATAACCAGGGAGTGGAATGCCTGCGCTTGCTGAACGAGATCATTGCTGACTTCGATGAGGTAAACCTATGCTTCAGGAATTTACAGTGACAAATGGGTGTCATTGTTGTCATAGCATTATGTTATTCGCTGTAGGAATGACTTTTCTTTTCTTTTTTTTTTTTGCACTTACAGAATTCCAGGTTGCATCATAAATTTTGCACTTACAGAATTCCATGTTGCATCATAAACAGGGACATTATTATCTGAGTTAATTACCACCTGAGATAAATGTATAAATATTGTTTCTCCATTTTGGGGGTCAGGAACATAAGCTTCGGAGAGGCTAGGCAACTTAACTCAATGTCACACAACTAGCAAATGGCAAAACCAAGACTTGACCAGAGGCCTTTCTGAGGCTGATCCTGCTCAGACACAGACATCACAGAGACTAGACACTGATGAGGACGTTTCTCCATCTGCTCAAAGTGGCCAAAGATAAAACCATCAATTAGCATTTGGTCAGAAAACTAAACACAAGTATAAACAGATAGCAATTCTTCTTCCAGGTTCCATGAGTCTAAAAGACACATAATGGGGGGGAAATACTCAGCCTTGACTTCAGTTACATTGATAAATTTGACAGGAGGTGGGCCCTCTCCTCCCCCACCCACATCGTGAAGGACCCCAGAGTCCATCCAATTGCTGAAGCCTGAGATGGGAAGCAAGTGACCCGTTGAGAAAGTGCTGGGAGGAAGCCCAGCAAAGATGTGGGATCGACTGCAGTCTAGCCTCAGCCTGATCCCACAGGGAGCTCAGGAGCATAAGAGGCACAATTGTCACAGGGAGGCCATGGGGCCAGGCTAGTGGACACCCTCATTGGTCAGTCGTTGGTTGCGGGCTGTCCTTGGTACATTACCTCCCAAGTATTTCCAGCAAGGGGTTTCCTTCTAGCCCAGGGCAATTCTCGCAGAAAGGTTGCAGCAATGCCTTGTCAGTCACCAGCGCTTATGGCATTCCAGAGGATGGCCCCGTGAAGGTGTTTTGGGTGGGACACCAACCACATCTACTACATCACCCTAAACAGCATCCTCTCCCTCAGTCCCCACATTCTGTCCAGCTCCTGAGTCCTGTGAATTCCCTCTTCTTTTTTTATTCATGGTGTACAACATGATGTTTTGATATATGTATACACTGTGGTATGAGTACATCAAGCTAATTAACATATCTGTGACGCATAACTTACCATTTTTTGTGATGGAAACATTTAAAATCCACTCTATTAGCACATTATTATTAACTATAGTCACCATGCTGTACGATAGATCTGCAGAACTTATTCCTCCTGTCGAACTGAAACTTCGTACCTTTCAACCAACCCCATTTCCACCCCACCCCTAGCCCCTGGTAACTCTCTGCTTGTGAGTATGACTTCCGATTCCACGTACAATTGAGATCCTGCAATACTCATCTCTCTGTGCCTGACTTATTTCACCTAGCATTCTGTCCTTCAAGTCCATCCATGTTGTCACAAACCACAGGATTTCCTTCTTTTTGTGGCTGAGTATTATTCCATTGTGCATATACACACACTTTCCTTATCCACTCACCCACTGATGGACACTTAGTTGATTCCATATCTTGGCTGCTGTGACTGTGCTGTGAGGAACACGGGAGTGCAGACATCTTGTCGACCTTCTTTGTCACTCTGTGACCTGCCCCCTTTTTCACCATCAGTGCTGCCCCTGCCTTGCTTCTGGCTGTGTAATTATTTCCCACCTGGATGACTGCAGCCATCTCCCAACTGCTCTGCCTGTCTGCATCTCACCGTCAGCAACCACCAAAGGCGGGAGTATTTTCTCACATCCCTCTGAATCCTAAAACCCTTCAGTGGCTCCCCTTTGCCAGCTCCTTAGCAGGAAGCCTGAGGCCTCACCCTCACTGCCTCTGCTCCCTCTCCTGCCTTAGCCCTCACTGCGTGGCCCCCTGACCCCTACTGTCAGCACCACCTAACTACTTACAAGCCAGCATCCCACCTGGCTACTTCACACTGCTCTTGCCACCGAGAAATGATGCCATCCCTACCCCATCCTCTCTTCCTCCACTCCAAGCCTAGCTGAAAATCTAACACTCATTTTTTTTTTCTTTTTGTCTTTTTTTCGTGACCGGCAACGGATCGCAACCCTCAGTGTCGC